TAATAGGTTATAATATATATAGTTTGCGAAAAGATTAAAAAAAAAATAATTATAATTTTCTATGTTAAATTTTTTCTTATAATAATTTAATGATAAATTTTTCAATGATAAAATTTTGACCATTATTAATTTTTCCTAATGGCTTAATGGTTTCGGGAGATAGTTCAAGAGTACCGGTACCAGCACTCAAAGTGCCGATACTTTTCACCATAAAATTTTTTTTTACTGTGATATGTAACGGTACAAAAATACTGATACAATGTAATTTTTACAGTAATAATTACCGCAAAATCCCTGAATCATTATCATTAAATAATTATGACTGTAAAAATTGCAGTGTAATATTTTACAGTAAATATGGATTTTACGGATGATGCATCCAAAGTGCCGGCATTTTGCACCGTAATTTCATCCCAAGTGTTTTACAGTTTATGATCTTTAATATGAAAGTTTTAAAACATAAATAGAAATATTTAGCTTCTCCCTTTCTTCAACAGTTACAATTTTTACTAAAATAAAGCGATTTTTATATATTTTTTAAATAATTCAAAAATTAATAAAAAAAAATTAAGAAAGGATTTTTTTAGAAAATAAATAAATAAGTTGAAATAAAATAAGTAAAGAAATAAAATAAGTTTACTTAAGTTTGGCACCTATCGCGTATCAAAAATAAATCTTTACATCAATAAACAAAAAGGAAATTTCCAAAGAAAAAATTCTAAAATAAAATGTTTTTTTTTTTCTTTTTTAAATTAGAATTGTTTATTTTTTTCAAATTATAATTTTTTTTATTTTTTTCCAAATTAGAATTGTATATTTTTTCTAAATTAGAACTTTTTTTTATTATTTTGAGACAGGAAATAACAATCGATTTCTTAATCAGAATTCTTATTCCCAGGTGTGAAAAACATCACTCTCAAAACATCTTTTCTCTTTCAATAGTAAACATCTATTTAACTAAATGATGGATGCTAAAACTGTTTAACCAACTGTGAAAATTGGACATGCCAACACGACTTTTATGGCAATCACCTCAAAGCCCCCGCTAAACAGACCCCTTAAGGATTATACCGGTATGGGGGTGTATTACACCTGCGTCAAAATTCCTTTCACCCACAGGTGTGTATTCAGACAAATAGACAAATGATACCGTCCAAGTCAGGATGGGAAAAAGTTGGTTTTCTTTGATTTTAAATGAACGCTTATTTCTGAGGAATTTACGCACGTGCGTATTCTGCCCATCAGCTGTGTATATTTTGAAAGGTGGGAAGGACATTGTGAAACTGTGCAAATCTTTTGTTAAGGAAATCTGAAGGCAATATTAAAATATTTGAAATTATTGTTGAAGTCCCGAGAGGGCTCTGGGAAGAAATTTGCCTTGCGAATTATATATATATGCGAATTATATGCGGTTTGCGAATTATANTATATATATATATTTCGGTATTTTTTTAATTACAAAAAAATCTGTTAAATTATCGGAATTACTTTTGTACTTACATATAAAATCAAAAAAAAAAGTAGTTGAAATTTTTTTCCCTTCACATTTAAAAATTCAATGATTGATTTTATAAATTAGAGAAATTTCAATGATGAATAACTGTTTCTCTTAGATATAAATAACTGCCAATAAGAGAAAATTTGAAAAATTATTCTTTGGAAGTGTGCCGCGCTTGAAAGATTCTACCTTTAACGCGGAAACAAACCACAGGTTATGCTTAGGACATCAGCATGCTATATGTCCTAACCATAAATTATTTAAACGCAAAATATGATATTTTCCACTTATTTTAACATAAATTAATACAAAATAATGAAGAAAGTATGAAAAATATGTTTAAAAATTCTCTGTCAAAAAGTTAATTAATATTTACCCTTAAATCCAATTTTTAATCCGGAAAATGTGTTTCGAAATGTTGACCGCTTTATCTTGAATTAAATGTTGAATAATTTTTTTTCTTACATTCTTTTTTTTGCATGCCGCGGTATTTTCAAATACCTAATTATAGAATATTTTGGCGTAATTAAATTCGTTTTCAGCAATGAAGTTATTTAAATCTACTGATTAAATAAACAACTATATTAAAAACATAAAATATTATTAAAATGGCAATTATCTATTAAAACATAACCTGCTAAAATAATATAATTATGCAATTAATTTTTTGGGGTAATTAGATTTGTTTTAAGCTAGGTAAATTAGATGATTGGATGATAGGTAGATTTTTGTTTACCTATTTTTTATATTATAAATTAATTAAGATTATTTTTAACTAAATTAAAATACACAGAAACATTAATAAACTGTTTTTAAATATTAAATTATCCATTCAAAAAGTAATATGTTAAAAATAATGCAATTATGTAATTATCATTTTCAGAAAATTAAATTTAATTTTTTAAGGCAGATTTTTACTTCAATATTATTTATATTATTTCAAAATTATTTTAATCAATTAAAAAAATTACTTAAATCTTTTAAAATTAAATTAAATATATTTAAGGACTTAAAAAATAAAAAAATTGACATAAAGTGTTAAATTATTTAAAATTATAACTTTTGTTGTTTAGATTTTTAATTTTATTATTTTTGTTTATTAATGTGCTTTTTGGTTTTTAATTTTACTTAAAGCAATCTGCTAAATTGGGCTAGTTTTATCCCTTACATAATTTTGAGAAACCAGCAAGACTCTGCACTTGTTTTACTGTAAACAATAGTAATAAAAAGGCAGGAAAAATTTAATTTCTAAAATACTAACCCAATAAAATGGGTAAAAAAGGATGAAATATAAAAATTATTTATGTTATTTTGCAGACATTTAAAGTAATTATAAATCTGACAAAAAAGGGGAGCTGTTAAAATTATTTGTTTTGGTAGTAATCTTCGTTTTGCCAATTATCCAGTTATTGAAAAAAAGTTAGTTATTTGAGCTTAATGTTTCGTTAAGAAAAAGAAAAAAAGTTGTACTTTTTTTTAAAACTCAGATGGCCTAGAATTCGATTTCTGCCACACCCATACATCACACCCGTTTATAGGATGGACCCATTCTTTCATTCTCGGATCATAATTTTGACTTGAGGCAAAAAACAATCAATTTCTAAATCAGTAACCCCAGAGGTAGAATTTGTTATGGAAACATAGAGGACTTTGTGATCTGACAGATTTAACGTGCACCAGCCATCATTTACTACACGGGAAGTCTTTTGCTGGCTGGGTTCGAGCTCCAGTTCTCACAAACGAGAGTCCAGCGCCCTGTCAACCAGGCTATCCTGGCCTTTTTAACTCATTCAAAATTTTTATTGAAAAAATGATTAATTCAAAGAATAAAAATTTAAAATTATTTCACGGGAAAAAATTCTGGTAAAATTATCATACTGTATAGGGATGCCATTCCTAGTAAAAAAAGAAAAAAAAAACATGATTTTGTTTAATAAAACCGAAGTATAGGATATTTCAACCATTTATTTTGGTTTTTTTAAAATTTCTTTATCATCCATATGATAATGGTTTACCGGAAAATCTGGTTTCCAAAATCTTAGTTCTTATTATCACACATTTATTGAAAAAAATGCAAAACTGAAAAATAAATTTAACCGAAGGAATGGTTTTGTGTCAAGCTCTTAGGTTTCATGATTAAATTACCTAATATAATCACATTTAACAAATTTTATCAAATATTATGAAACCATATTTTCTAATTAATTGTATCCAAATTATTACCAAAGCACTTCTGTAAAAATTGCTTTTTGATGTTCCCATAGTGTTAGAAATGTGGTACCTTTTACCATATCTTGGTAGTTTTGGCGATACATTTTTTCTCCGTGTGTGCTTGAAAGGGTTAAAAGATGTAGAAAGCTCACACAAAATGATTAAAAATTTCTTCTAATATGAAATCATTTTGGATACCTTGATATTTAGAATAATATAACGATGATAATGAAATTCCAGTTGTAAATATTTTAAATTGATCCATTGTATTCTAAACTGCAACTTTAGCGCTGTTTCACCCATTTCTCCTGTTAATGAGTTTTTTGTTTTTATCTTAAATTATTTTTGTATTGATAAACTATAATTCGGTTTAAAATAGTTTCTTTAAGTGCTTTTATTTCAGATCAAAAAGTATACATCATAGTGCAAACACTTTTTTTGTTTATACGCGCAGAGTGTAAACAATTTCATGAAATCTATCAGAGTTAAAACAAACATTGCCTTAAAATATTCGATAATCAATTTCTTTTTCTCTTTTTTTTAAATATAAAATTATTCCACGCATGTTCATTTTTATCTCATTTTGCGTCAAGAGAAAAAAAAAAGTTATTAATTTTTGAAACGCTTGCAATAAAACAGAAAAAAGCTATGATGACTCTCATTTTAATAAATAAGTTTATCATAAGTTAGAAAGAAAAATAAATTCACTTTTCATTAAAAAAGGAATGGTAAATTTCGTATTCCCATGTCTAACATTTAAGATTTTGTTTTCTTTTTTATTAAAAATAAATAAATAAAAAGTTTGACAAGCTGAGCATTTTCAAAATAATTTTATGTTATGTAAAATTTTATACAGATATGAATAAAAATAAAGAAATTTATTGTTGATGTTGTTTTTTAAATTCTAATTTACCAGAAAATAAAAAAACAAATGCATTATTCTTGAACTAATTAACGAAAAAATAAAATCTTTTCTTGTCCTATCTTTTAAAAGCTAAAAAATGCTATGCGTCTATATCTTTTTGTCTAATTTTGATCGGCTTTTTTTCTATTCTGAATAGATAAATAAAACAGAAATGTAACTACCTAAGTATGGATAACTATAACATTTCGAAAAATATAAAAATTTTAATTATAAAAAGAAATCTACTTTTTTCATGCTTTTTCGGTTTTTAAGAAGAATAAAAAAAAACCTTATTTTTCTTACGAAAAAACTCCGAGTGCCCTGTAAAGAACAGTAAAGGAAAATTCTTTGACTGCTCCTTATCGCACCGTCCTCAGGTAACTTGTGATTGGTTGGGGGTAGGGTTAGAAAGATTTTAAACAGGGGTATAAACGGAGGGTGCTTATGGAGGGCTGTGAATGACTCGCGATCTGTGCTTGTACTTGGTGCTAAAATAACTACGTTACTCGATACTGTATGTCCACTGATTTCTGATGGAAGTTTATTTGTATCAAATTATTTTGACATTTGTTTTGTTTGGAATATTTTTGCCGCAAAGTGAAGCAAGTAGAAATGAAACAGATAAAAGAAGATACGAAGACACAGAGACGCAATTTCGACTTTTACCGCAAAGAAACCCAAAAAGAAGGATACCTAGAAGAAAATCCGGAAAAATAGAGGTAAATTATAAGTTTTAATTAAATTTAGAACGATATTTAGAAAACTTTATTGTTATCTCTTTCTTATTTTAAGAAAATTTAAAATTAGACTGATATGGTTTTAATTGTTTTAAAATTTTTACTAAAAGACTTATTGTACCATATTCCATACGTATAGGAGGAAATAAAGAAGAAATAGGGCTATTATATTAATGTTAATATGTAATTTTTATTTGTTCATACAAATTACAGCACTAAGGTTTTTACTATTGTTAAAAAAAATAAAAAATAATTCACCCTATCCCATGTAGCATAATACGTAAATTAAACGCAGACTTTCGGGAAATCGGTAAAATCAGTACGCTTTATACATAAATTTTATTATATATTAACGGATTAATATTTCGATTAGGATATTTGATAAAAAAAAAAGCTTCCATATGTTTCACGTAATATTAACAGAACGAATTTTATTGACTACCCTACCGTAAGATTGCCTTCCTATATTTAATGTATTATTGACGAAGTAAATTTACCATTTAAATTTCGGTAGGAAAGTTTTGTACATTTTACGTATAAATATTGACGTCTATTTCACGATTTAGATTTTGGTAAACAGCTTCCGAATATTGTACGCAATAATGACAAAATAAATTTGCCATTTTATTTCGGTATGAATGTTTTTGTATGTTTTACGTAATATTGGCGAAGTTAATTTACTATTTAGTTCATTAAAAATATGCTTCTGTGTATTTTAAGTATTATTGACGAAGCAAATTTATCATTACGATTATAACGTGTGCATTATTACCTCGTATGAAGGAGTTGGTAAAGTATTTACAAAATAAACGAATTTGTTTACGCATAATTTTACGTGAATTTTATATTTTTTGGATATCTATTTTTTGCTATAATATGAAGTTACAGTTTTACGTAAATTTTACTGATGCCTTAGTAAACTATAAAAGTGAAATATCTGTATTTTTGACGTAAAATTGATGGTTCTCTGTTACAAGGGATGTTTCTTTTATCTTATAGACACATAGTATAATAAACAAATTGAAACACGGTTTTTTAAGTTATATGGTTGTTATGTAAGTAATAATTTTGCCCGTATTTAATTTCTGTTCATTGAAGATAACAGAAATCTTCACAAAAATATTTGAGTATTTTACGGAGTTTTACATCGATATCTAAAACATTAACTTAATTATTAATATATCAATTTTAGTATAAAGTTATGTTAACTGCAACTAAAAAAAAATTATGTCAATATATTTAACGTACTTCAGATATGCATTTTTCATAAATATTTCGAAAACAATGTTCGTTTTTGAAGCAAAAAACTGTATAAGTTTTGTTTAAAACATCGAGAGAAAAAACATATTGTCTTAATAAATATTATATTTATTTTCTTTTTTATTTCTATTTATTTACTTCTGTTTATTTATTATATACTTTAATTATTTATATTTATTTTCATTTTTTTAATTGAAACACGTTACAGAAAATTTTCGTTAGTTTTTTTTTTCTTCTTAGTTTTATGTTATTTAGCATTTCGAATATTTAGAATTTTTGGAAGGGGGTTTAAAGTAGAGTTTAATGTTGGTATATAGTTCAGGAGGTAGAAAGTACAATTTGTATAGTTTTACCGTGAGGTGGGGCTATAAACATCGTCATCTCTTCCTTATTTCTACTTTATTTCTTTTATTGAAACACGTTACATGACACTACCTTTATTTATTTATTTATTTTTCTTAGTTTAGGTTATTTGAAAGTTGAAAAGAAAATTTAGTACGTTTTAGTAGAGAGTTTAAAAGTTCATTTTCTCTAATAGAAGTTTTATTTTTCTTCCTTGCCACACTTTTGCAACTAATGTGTAGAATATGAAAGTAATAAAAGAGAAATTTCTATTTAATAATTTTGTTAGTAATACAAATTTATCTTACCTTTCTTTCAAAAATTACGCAGTAAACATAAATATTCTTAAAAAATTATAATAATCGCTTGTACAGAGCGCCTTAAAGAAAAAGGAACACCCCGTAAAACTCTTGATCTAATGATCGGATCTTCATGTTTTAGGACTCAATCTTGATGGTTTGAGGAGGTGACCTCATATATGCTAATTAAGTTGTGCAGACGATATTTGGAGCATCCCTAAGTTTAGACCCCTTAATGTTAATTTGACTTTTTGCGATTTTTGCCATATCTCCTTGTAAAGCAAATTTTCTCACAGAATTATAAAATTCGTTTGTCCAAATTACTTTCACGCAAAAAAATATTTTTTTGCAAATAATAATGACCTTTTTTTACTATTTTATTTAATAATAATCGAAAAGATTTTGAATAGGTATACAATTTTTCACATCATTTTCAAGTTTCTAATTTTACATTGCAAAATACAAAATTTGAGTGAAGAGAAATCATATTTTAGAAAAGCCGTATTTTTAAAATTTTATTTCTCAGGAACTATTCAATCGATTTTGCTTGAGTTTTGTATTTAGCCATGTAAAATTGCATAATTTGAAATGATGTAAAAAGTTTGTACCTTACTATTTAAATTTCATTCGACTAATATTAAATTAAATAATAAAAAATAATTAAAGTTATTTTTTGCATGGAATTATCTTTGGGCAAATGGAATTTATAATTGTGTGCAAAATTTTTTTCTATTCCATTTAAAAAGTGCTCTAGATATGGCAATATAAGCAGAAAGTAAAATTAACATTAAGGGGTTCAAACTTTGTATCGCTCTCCTGACCAAACTATGGAGACCATATTTCCCACATTGCGGTTACCCCTTAGGTTCTGGAGGTCAGAAATCCAAATCCGTCGAAAAAAAGGCATGTGTATTCAGAGAAAGTACATTTTTTGTCTTATTTCGTACCTTAAAATATCGTCTGCACTTATTAATTAGCATATTTGAGGTCACCCCCTTGAACCATTCAGATTGAGTCCTATAGCGTGAAGATCTGATCCTTAAATCAAAAGTTATTTAGGGTGGTCCGTTATTTATCTTTTTTTTGCGCATTGTGCATATCTAATTAATAAACTTAGACTACGATGATAAAGTATTTTATTCGGATTTATTTGAAGAATTTAAATTTAAAATAAATAAGTTTTAGAGCTTATATTGAACGGTTGTCATATGTTTATCATTTTACTTGTAATATTTCAATTTATATTACGGACTGTATGATATCATTTTCTAAATTAAAATTTCCTGAAATTTCTTAAAGCTGCTTTACATGCACTTACCCATGCAGCATGATACATAAATTCAGTGTAAATTTTTGTGAAATTGATAAAGTCAATACGCTTTACGCTTTAATTTTGTGTAATATTGACGGAATGATATTACCATTGTTAAAAAAGCTTTGGCATATTTTACATAATATTGACTTAATGGATTTTACCAAAGACCCTTCTGTAAGATTACTTTCGTAGATTTTACGAAAGATTGACGAAGAAATGTTTACTATTTAGATTTAGTAAACATGATTCTGTGTATTTTATGTATTAGTGACAAAAGCAAATTTACCATTTAAATTTCGATTTCTGTTCTGTTCTGGCAAATTTTCTGTTTTTTGGGTTACCACTTTTTTCTATAATTTGACGTTTTTCGACTAAGTACATTTTTAAGTACTGTTGACGTAAATAATACGTAAAAATAACATACTCATTCTTACCTAGTAAAAAGTAGTTGGTAAAATATTCCTAAAATAAATGAATTTGTTTACGTAAACTTATGCGCAAATTTTCCGTTTTTGGATTATTTTTTTTCGCTATAAAATTTTGCCATAAAATTCGCAATAAAATTCGCTTAAATTTTGGCGTAAACAATATGTAAAAATTACGTACTCATTCTTAACTAGAAAAAACTGGTTGTTACAATTGTGGTAAATAATAATAGTGGCAGGTAAAAAATTGTTTGTAAAAGTAATAGTGGTTGGTAAAAAAATATTTGTGAACGAAACGAATTTATTTACTTAAAATTTTACGTAAATAAATTCGTTATATAAATTCGTTAATTACGTAAATAAATTTGTTATTTATGAAAAATTTTAAGTAAATAACTTCATTTCCTTCACAAATATTTTTTTACCAACCACTATTACTTTTAATAAATTCGTTATATAAATTCGTTAATTGCCTAAATAAATTCGTTATTAAATTCGTTAAATAAATTCGTCATTTATGTAAAATTTAAGTAAATAAGTTCGCTATTTATGTTAAATGTTATGTAAATTTTCGTTTTTTTGATAACCATTTTTTGTTATAATTCGACCTTCTAGCTTCACCAAAATTTTACGAATGCTTACTAAAATTTAAAGATGAAATATGCAAATTTCTGAAGTAAATTTGATGGTTTTCTGCTACCTGGGTAGTTGAATAGTTCTAAATTTTAGTAGTCCTAAATTTTCGTAAAAGCTGTAAAATACAAATTACAAAATTAAAGTAATACATGCGAGAAAACTATATGACGAATTTCTCATGGTTTTAAAATAATAATGTTCCATTGTTATACAATATGTTAAAGAAAAAAATACTAAAATTAATAGCGATACAATAAGCGTCTATTTTTTTTTTCAAAAGTGATATACACTGAGAAAAAAGGTACAGTCGAAACTGCGAGAGTATAGTAAAATTTACCGTGTTTCTAGCTCTATGGGAACATAAAAAAGCGCGGTAATTTTCATCGAAATACTTCGGTAACGATTTTGTAAAAATTAGCAAATACATTTTTATAATCTGTGATAAAATTTAGTAATTTTAACTAGATGCCTTAAGGCATGGGATAAAAACCGTTTTTCGGGTTACATTTACTTTTTAGTTTTGTATATTTTACTAAATATATCCTCCTTCTTTCTTAAACCCATGAGCTTAGTTTTATTCTATGTTATATTGATTATTATCACTGATTGTTATTATTAATTATTATTATTATTTTACTTAAAGGTTGGTTTAAGTGAAGGATCTGGTAATGAACCTAATGCCACCTCTTTTTCTGAATGGGAAGAATGGTCAAGATGCAAAAACTGCCGACAATTTAGGAATCGCCACTGCATTAACATAGAAGAGTGTGAGGATAAGATTCAAAAGATGTACAGGTAAGAAAGAATATGTACACTACGGCGGACTAAATTATTGTACACTACGGCGGAATGAATATTTTTAAAAATTTAAACTCCTTCAATGAAATGTCACAGACATTCCAACCTCATTATAACTCTTAACCCTTTGCTTACGGTGTATCATATAGTACTATCACATGTGATCCATATGTTGTACCAGCCGTAACCTCACGATGTATCGTATAGTACCATCACATGTGGTTCATATGTTGTACCTGCCGTAAGTAAAAGGTTAACCTAACTCTAACATAATAGATGCTATTTTATGTGACTTTCTGTTTAGATTAACATTTTCATTTAACAATAATGTTATTGCAGGCCCTGCCATTCATCATCAAACTGTAAGCAAAAAATATTGATTATGATGGCAAATCGAGGAGATCCTAAAAAGAGGCCAAAAAAAGTGAGAATCATAAGAAAATTAACTCCCTACTTCTTCACGGAGTGGTCAGACTGGTCACCATGTTCCTCATCATGCTATACAAAAAGGACAAGGTAAGCCATATTTTTTTAGTTAATTGGTCATTTTCAGTCAATAAAGCAAATGAAATGGTTGCATGTATTATTAAAAGCGATACGTTTTGTTTAGAGCCAGATACCGAACACCAAATCTATTTAATAGTCAGTTGCCTTGGAAACGAATTATTGGAATTGGTAATTTTCGTGGACAATTATCATAGCATAGATTTTTTTTGTTTATAGTTGCTCTGGCCAATATTTTTTATCCCTATCCTATAATTTAAATTCCTAATCTAATATTTGAACATGAAATACATAGCTCAATATTTTAATTCTTAATTTCAATTCGAGACGTCACTTTATTGTCCCACATCCCACCAAAGTAATTACCACTGCTGCACTTCATTTATTTAAATGCTTTGTTTTACTTTTTTAGTTTTCTGAGCCCGAAAAATATTTCTAAGGGGGAAAAAACGCACACATAATTTTCCCGAACTTATTTGGATTTTTCTTTCTCAAAGTATTTGTACTTTTTACTCTCAAAATACAACCGTTATCTGCAAAATTTGGCTCGTATATTTTTGTCGTTTTTCTCCATATGCATAAATACTCGACACTAAAACTCGCTCAAAAAAAAATAGTTCGCTCACCTAAAGATATTTTCACTTATAAGTAATTAATATTCTTTTAATATTTTTTTTAAAATTCAATTCATACACAAATGATAAAATGAAATGAAATGAAAATTCTATTGCGTAAGCACCACATTTGATATATTTTTTTAAACTGTGAAAAGGGTATTAACTTTTTGATGCAGAAATTTTATTAGACATATTTTTCATGCATTTTTCATTATTTTTTATTAATTTAGGCTACAATAAGTTAAAAACATTTTAGCATTTTAATAATTCATGGCTATGAAATACAACATGAAACAATCAATAATTTTTCAAAATTTGCCCTTATTTGCAGCTATTTTGATTTAAGAAGAACATTTATTCATGATTTAAATTTGTTTCATTTATAAAAATTAATTATTGATGCATTTTTGAATATGAATAAAAAAAAATGTCAAACTACGCTATTTGGATTTTATATTTTAGTGCAAATATAATTCTGATAATCTAACAGATTTTAGTAACTATTGGACTGTTTCTTTAATTTAAAAAAAATCAAAATATGCCTGTAATTAGAGCGCCAGAAAAAATATATAGATATAAAAGCCTGTGTCCCCTTTGCGTGAAAGGGTTAAAGGTGGGCATTAGAAAACACACTATAATTGTCAAATATATATTCCTTTCACATAACGAAAACAGAAATTAATAATTATTTGGTTTATTTCTCAGAAAGTGCAGATTTCCTGGCCTTTGCGATAATAGTTCTTTGAGAGAAGATTATAAGCAATGCTACAGAGATGGAGATGATTGTGAAAAGCTATTTTTTGAGCAGCAACAACGATTATTTGAGTATCCTAAAAATATCGATGAATCGACTGAAAGTTAGTTGAAAATTTTATTTCCTTGATACTGATCAAGAAATTCTTTCTTGACAGTATTTTTCATCCCAAAAATTAGAATAAATTAGACGATTTAATTAAAAAAATATAAATCAAAGGAAATAAAATTTCTAGATGGGTTTTCTTAAAAAGAAATTAAGTTTAAATTTATAATTTTAAACTATTTTCCTTATTAATCGCTCTAAGAATACTTTTTCAATAAAGTAAAATGCAAAAATTTTCCAAGCAGACTGAAGGAGCAGACGTTCCAGGAGAATATAAATGGAATATAAATGTTTTTTGATATTTTCACAAATTTTCTGAGATAAAACTTCTCACGTTTTTCCTTTTTAATTAAATCCGTCACACTGTTTTAAATTGCATTTATTTAAATGAGTGATTTTCTACACTAGAACCATGACGGGACAATCAAATCCTTATCAAACAAAAATCAAAAATGAATAAATAGCGTGAGCAAGACAAAATCGTCCTATGACAAAATCTATGGCAATTTGGTATGAATAAACCGTTTCCAAATTTTCCCGTACAGGGATTAATACTGTGGGGCGAGGAGTATTCAACAATGTCAACCTTCATCTATGAAAAGGAACCTCTCCATAGAATCGAGTTAACATGTCTTATATACTAGTGAATTGTAGTTGTATTTTTGTAGTGGTAGATACGCTACAGTACTCCCCCACCAGAATTATATCTGTGATAGAATTCGATGAATGAATTGCTGTTTTGTGCAAAGCCGGGAGAGCTGTATTAAGATCACCGTGCTTTTGCTGATCGTGAGAGCTGTATTAAGTTCACGGTCGTGTTTGCTCCTGTGTTGCCATTAGCAGTCGAGTGTATGCAGTCCAACGTTGTATGAGGTCGAGACTGAGTAGCAACAGCGCGAGGAGGTGGAGGATAATGTCGCAGTCACAAGTAGCAAGTCAACTGTTCAATGTGGACCATCCATCCAAGTAGGCGTGTTCAGGTCGAAGTGGGCGTTACTGCCAAGGTAGGCGTGTTCACCTCACGTCCGATGGTCACCAATGTGGGGCGAGGAATAATCGACAATGTCCACCTTCATCTATGAAAAGGTACCCCTCCATAGATAAAATTCTTTTATCGAATTACTTTTCAAAAAAAATAAATAAATAAATAAATAAATCTCCAACAACGAAGCTTTTAAAGCTAATGACTATGTAGAAATCTTCATCGAAATAAAAAAATTAAAATGATTGTACTTCTGAGTCTTTTAATTATATTTTTATTCGTGAAAATAACTTTACAGTTTACAAATAAAATAGTTCATAAAAATACGTTCGCAAAACAATTTTTATAGATATATATATAAAAAACAAGTAATTCTTTCTATTTGCGAAGAAGGGTTTAAGAATTAGAAAGAGAAACGTTTAAAATATATTTTGCTCGAATCAAGAAGATTTTTTTAGCCATGTAAGCACATTACCAATTTTTTAAGATTAGCTATGTAATAATTATAACAATGAACTGTAATGCTTGTAACAATTATAACTTAAATATGAACATTAATTTGAATAATTATCCCAGCTAATTAAGAATAATTATCCCAGCTTATCCCACTAATTGTAACTGTTTTTATAATACATACAGTAATAATTGATAGAATTGTATCTATTATGACCATAATTGTAATAATACTAGCAGTTGAACTATAATTGTAATAAATGTAACAATAACTGTAATATTTGTAACAATAATTTATCAATTTTAAACCAGTAGTGAATATATATGTTACTGTCAATGTGAATAGTCATTTATTATTAATACTAACCGGTCAATATTAATTATGATCAAATAAGCCGGTCATTCTTTCGCGTTTTTATTGGGAATATTTCCGAATTGTGATCTGTCACGCCAACTACAATCGCCAAGGCACCAAATTGATTTTAAACAGGAAAATTTTTAAAAAAATGCAGATGTTTGCCCGGAGGATGTTACGAGTTTTATCCTTCTAGTTGGTCCTCTTCTGTGATATTTTTTTAAAAAGTTTCTCGTGGGCTTCAGCCCGGAAGTTGCCATGACTGGGCGATTATTCTGCCACAGATCACGATACGGAAATCTCCCCTTTTCATTTCTCACTTAGACCAAAAGAAGCGGTTATTATTAGTATTGACCGGTTAGTATTAATAATAACAGGATTTACTACTTAAAATATAGATTTAATTTACTTGATATTGTTTAAAGTCATTAGTAGTTAAATCATTGGAAAATTCTGTAGGTTTAAAAGATAATCCTTTGGATAATATTGAATGCGGAATTCCAAATGTCTCAGTACCATCTGTACCACCGGAATTCAGAAGGATAACCGGTGGAAGGCCATCCGTGAAAGGGGCATGGCCATGGCAGGTAATTTTCTTGCACCACATCCCACATACTTTATTATATCTGGGTTTTTTTTATATTTTTATTTTTTAATCTTTCTTCACTAAGAAAATTATAGTCAAAGCTACCATGATATGGTACAATTTTACGTGTTTCTGGTTCTATGGATACACCAAAAAGCTTGGTAATTTTTACCAAAGCGTTTTGGTAATGATTTTAGCAAAGCTAGCAGTAAGTTCTATAATAAAATTTGGTAAATGTGGAAAAATTTTCTAAATTCATGATGATACCTCTGAGCATGACATAAAATCACTTATTTTGTAAAATTAACTTTTCAGTTTTGTATTTTTTACTAAATGTGTGGTAATAAGAACTATAATTTTGAAAACCAACCATAATTTTGATTAATTGTTACCAAATAAACAGAAAAATACCCGAATGGGTTACTTAAATATCATCTATTTTGATTTACTAATCAGAATTATGTTTTTTTTAACCCATATTTTTAGTTTCGCAATAATTTTTAATCTCTATACTAGCCGTTCTGTAAGATAAACCCTTTTTTTTAATATTTTTTTCAAAAACTTTATTTTAAAAAGGTTTACAAAATAATCAAATTAAGGCTAACTATTCAAGCTTAAAAAAAGAGTATAATGATATCGAAGTTTCAAGAATCTCTATACAGGACGTCGGTATTAAAAGTATCGAAGCTATTTGATTACTCGAAAAAATAGAGAGGAAAGGCGATCACCACAACAGCAATTTCCCTTCAGCAATCAAACAGTTTCTAATTCCGTCTTTCCTGATATTGATTCATTAGATTCCAATTGCATTTTTCTTTCTTCCTTGTTTGAATACTAATTGACGATACCTAATATGCATGCATTTACGGCTTCATTTCTTATAAGATTAAAAAAAAATAATTTATATATATATATATATTTTTCATATATATATATTTTATTCATATTTATTTTCAGACTCTCATTCTGAATTCTGATCGTGAGCCATTCTGTGGTGGAATTCTGCTCTCCGATAAGTGGGTGCTGACAGCAGCTCACTGTATTCGAAAGCGCCTGTATGTTCGAGCCGGTGAATATGACCTCTCTCACTATGAAAAGACCGAACAAGAATGGTCTGTGTCCGAATTTTGGAAGCATCCTAAATATGATCAGAATACCGTGGACAATGACATAGCATTATTGAAGACGATAAGGCCGTTTCAATTGAATTCTTACGTTACGCCGATATGCTTACCTTTACGAAGCGATAAGCTGCCAGAGTTCGCAAGACTTACTATCTTAGGTAAGTTAAATTTGTAGAAATAGAAAAGTATTAAATTGACAGAAACAGGAGCAATATTTTCTCATATTTTGTTCAGTTGTAATGGTTTGAAAAGCATGTACAGAAATTATTTACGAAATCTAACTATATATAAGAATCTATTGATGTTGTCGCAGTTTTCCATTGTTGTTCATGTATTTTTTTTCTTCCGGAAAATCACATGGTAGCATCCAGTTTTTCCCCATTCATTTCCATATTGTTTCAGTTGCCATCAGCATAAAATTAATAAAAATTATAAAAGTATCGTTTTTCTATAAACTAGGAGGCTTCGCCCCCTGCTCGCTGGTGCTCGCCAACCCCCGGTACTGCTTTCGCAGTTCATTTCGGATTGCTTTGCAATCCGATGCTCGCTTTACTCGCTCATTTGATACGTTCTTAACGTCTAGCTTTTGTATACTTTTTTGAACACTGAAGTTCCGAAAACTTTTCACTGTAGAAAATTCTAAACCTGTACATTTCAATATTAATTTGAAATTGCAAACAGTTCACATATTTTTCTTAATCACACTATTCTAAATTTCAGTTGTTGAGAAAAGTAACTGTTGTAAGTTTTGTTTTAAAGTCTTCCCCACAAAAGGGCTAAAGCCATGTGTTGTAAAACAATATGAAATAGTAGTCTGCCACTGAACACCGGATGTAAAGATAATATAACAAAACGCGGAATAGTAAAGCGCTCAATTCAAAATAAAATAGCAATAGCATAACACTTCTCATTTCTGCCAATGAAAAGGAACTATTTCAGTACTCCTAACCAACCAACCGTTTTTTTCTCGGTGACAATCGGAGATAGATAGACATATGATGCTCACTACGTGCTCTTGCACGCCGAAGCCTATCAATTAAAACGTATTAGCGTTTTATATAACATGGATTAGCCATATAATGCTCACTACGTGCTCTTGCGCGCCGAATCCAATCAATTAAATATGAAAACTGTTGCCAGCGCGAGAAAAGAAATATCATCGGTTTTATTGATACATTCATACGTACGTATTAGCGTTTTATATAATATAGATAGATATTTTCGTATCGCTAGTTTAAAGTTATTTTCCTGTACTGCTATTATTACACTTTTAATTAAGAGCTTAAAGCTAAGAGAATTGTGTTTTTTTACTATTATTATTATAATGTAATTCTACTCTAAATTTCAAGAAAAAGTTATTTAGAAATGTGATTAAATCTTCGTAACAGTTTCACAATTATTATTTTTGTGCAAATAACTTTAATATACTGCTATAAATTACAATTAAAGATATCTTTTAAATGATTTAGAGCTTAATGATCGGCTTTATGCACAATGAGATGCAAGCAAAAATCTCTATATATATTTCTCTCACACGGCACCAAAAAAAAGCCTCATTACAACTCCCCGAATGACAACGTTAGAAAATCGACCAATGATTGCTGCTAAAAATGTCACATGGCAAATCAAGATGAGGTGGCTCAACATATAGCGCTTTTAAAAACGGAAACAATAACCAGAGTGAGCATTATCAGGTTGTTCAATTCAGATTCATGCCCTAAAAACATGATAATATTTAATTTAAACTCAATTAGGAATTAATTA